CATTAAAAATAAGGTGTTTGGTTTGGTGTATAGTGGTGAATTAGGGTTTTACTTTTTTTTTATTTTATTATAATCCTAATTATAAATCCTTTTATTTCTATTATCCTTGAAAATATTTAGACTTATTTGGAATTAACACTCACCCTCTATGTTTAAATTTAATCACCCTCTATATGTTTAATTTAAAAACATTTTTACAAATAATTTTTATAATTTTATTATAAAAATTAATACTGTTCACCAGGGGCGCAACTAGACACCGACTTTTGGGGGGCTTAAGACCTGAGACTTTTAAAGTTATACAGGGTATCCCAGAAATAAGTGCAAGTATTTTAAGGGGTGGTAGATCTCGATAAAAAAAAACATATTTTCTCTTTATCGTCTTTCAAATAAGTCAAAAATAACGGAGTTATTTTACTTTGAAAATTTCCATAAAAAATGTGCTAAAATTTTAAGAACCACTGGATCATTTCTGGATTTTTATTCTTGTAAATTTAATCTAATACATATGTTGCCCTATTATCAAGAAATTATGTTTTTTAACCAAAAACTAAAAAAAAATTTCAAAAATATTTTTCAAAAAATTTTGAATTTTCAAAAAAAGCTTTTTCATGAAAAAAACCTCAGGCGTGTTTCTGGGGTTAAACTATACTACCAGTTAAAATACTTGCACTTATTTATATACAGGGTGGGTTAAATTGGACGCTTTTAAAGGGAAACGCCCTATTGTATAGGAGATAAGTGAAAACTAATGTCGGTCTCTAAAGGTCAATTTTTATCAAAAACATGATAGTAAAAGCCGCACATCGATATCTGTTACCGTTACGGGGTGTTTTCCAAAAATGTTCATTTTTATCAAATCGCTATAACTTTTTTGCTATGGAAAATTTGGTATTTTTATGAACACATTTCTGAAGTACATTTTTTACGTAGAATTTAATGGTATGAAGTATAATTTTTTTTAAATTAACAATTTAAGAGATATTAACAGAAAAATTGATTTCTTGTTTGAGACACCCTGTATATTTTTAATTAACTGAAAATAATTTAAAACTACCTTTCCAAAAATATAGCACACTTAATATTTTGTTATAGTCCCCTTCGAAATACAGAATTTTTAAAAGATTGCCACTTTTAACTAGTAGGCTTTGGACCCCTTATTGATGATCTGCCTCTAATGGAACTCGAAAACATATTTTTTCAGCAAAACGAGGTACCGCCTCAGAACACTGAAGTTATCAGCAAATTTTTCCAGGCAATTTCGAGAATAATGAATAGCTAACGAAGATCTCAGCCGTTGGCCGTCGAGGCCGCCGGACTTAGCGCCTATGAATTTTTCTGTTTGCGAAAGAATAAGGGTTCTTATTTTCATATTGCCCGTATAATCTAGGCAAGAATTAGAAGTACTTAGCAGTTATGCGAGGGTATCTTTCACCCCTACTGAGTTAATGAATTTCGCGAGAAATGTTCAAAAACGGTCCCGTCTGTCCATTACAGAAGACGGTCATGTCGAACACCTGTAGCAAAATCTCATGTTTTGGTTTGTCATTTATTTTTATTGTTATTAGATATAGTTTAAATGTGTTTAAGTAAGTTGATGTAAATGTGTAAATTGTTATAGAATTCTGCATCTCATTGCAAATATTATTTTCGCTTCAATTGCTGCTCACAGCTAGAATTTTTTTGTATAACAGTGGGCACCGTTTAAAGCGTACTTATTCAAAATGGACGATTTTTTAAAATCTATCTCGAAGAGGAATAGAGCAAACTATCAAGTATATTATATCTTTGGAAAGGTAATTTTAAATTCTTTTCAATGAATTAAAAATATACAGGGTCCAGGGTAAAAAATCCAATTTTCTGTTTATAACTCTTAAATTATTAATTTAAAAAAAATTATACTTCTATCATTAAATTCTACGTAAAAAGGTGCTTTGTAAATGTTTTCATAAAAATACAAAATTTTTCATATCAAAAAAGTTACAGCGATTTGTTAAAAATGCACATTTTGAAAAACACACCGTAATTCCGAAACGGTAACAGATATCGATGTGCGGTTGTAGTTGTAGTTGTGTTTTCTTTACCGTCATGTTTTTGATAAAAATTAAGCTTCAGTACACCGATATTAATTTTCATCTATCTTCTCTAGAAAAGGGTGTTACCCTTTAAAAGAGTCCAATTTGGCCCAACTTGTACATACGCTTAAACTATGGACATTTTTTAGATTTATTATTTGGAAATTGGTTAACAAATTATTTATGACGTTAGAAAAAAAAATGCATGTTTTATTTGGAGTAAAAATTACTTTTTGTGCCTCACCTAAAATGTCAAACGTACGCCAAAAAAAAAGTATCATTTTTACTCAAAACAATATCAAAAACTTAAAACTAATATCAATAACCTTGGTGATCAACCATGAGAACCTGACGATTGTTGCTCAACTTTGCTTGTATAATCGCACTATATCATGTGGTTTTATTGAATCGCACCAAACATCTTGGAGGGCTAATTTTGAGGTTGGGGAGGCTAGCCCCCCCCCCTAGTTGCGCCTCTGCTGTCCACCCTCCATAAACACAGGAAATTAAATAGCAATATACAGTATATTACAGTATATGATAAAAAAAAACGGCGTCCAGTTGGCTTGGAAATGACGATCGAAGACTTTCCCCATATAATACTACATCTAAAGTGACAGCTATCTTCATTTCATAGCCATCGCTGACGCCGTTTTTTTCGATCATATTGTACCGTATGATCGAATAAAAACGGTGTCAGCGATGAGTTTTTTGTCGATCATACGGTATTACATGGCTGAATTTATAATTCATGGCTGAATTTATAATTCAGCCATGTAATACCGTATGATCGACAAAAAACTCATCGACAAAAACTCATATTGGAAACATCAACGAACAGATGGACAGGTAACCTTTATTTTGGTGAATTAAGCATCCACGGTTCATAACAAATAAACTTTTAGTTACGTCATAAATTAATTGTTGCCAACCATGGACATATTCGGCGCCGTACTGACTAAGTGAAATTTAAATTTCCCGCTGGGGATTCAGGTGGCAGCTCTGCTGTAAAAAATGTCAAGTTGCCGCATTTATTTATTTATTTCCTGACATTGTCATTCGTTTTGACACTTTAGTTTTTTATTATGAGGTTTTGGTTTAAATAAATAATGTTGTGATACTTTAAGCTTAAAAATATAGCAGACATTGCAGTCGAACATTGTTCTTTTTAGAACCTCTTTTAGTGCGAAATGTACAAGATAGATTAATAACCGTAAAAACTCGCAACTTTATTAGAATATTTTGAACGGGAAAGCTATAGTAATGGCCCTTTGTGTCCCTTAAGTGCTGTTAAGTAGGTGAGTTTTGTTGATGTAAACGTAACGTAACAGTAAACGTAAAAAATATACTACCTGTTTATATATTTACTAGCGTGTACCAGCGACTTCGTTCGCGTCGAATTAATTATTTGTGATAATAAAGCAAAGCAATAATTTCCATTAACATACATACTGGATAAATTTTTCTCACGTTTATGTCAGCATGAGAAAAAACAATATGGCGATATTATTATATAACTTGGTAATATTTGAGGGGTAGTTTGATCTCGTTGGAATTTGACTTTCGAAAAATCCGTTTGCCAAAAATAAGCTTTTTACGTCAAGCAGTTTAAGCAGAATCGTGGTTAAGAAATTACCCAACTTTTGGAACACCCTGTATGATTTTTAAAAATTTCAAAATATGTTAAAAAACCAAATAAATTATGCTTGTCCAAGCGTTTTCCCGAAAGACTAACCGTTTTTTAAATAACAAATATTGTAATATTTGAGGGGCGTTTTCACCCTCTAGGAATTTGAGATTCGAGAAACCCCTCCTTATCGAACCTCTACACCCCACAGTCAATCCGTTTGTCAAAAATCAGCTTTAAACGTCAAGCAGTTTAAGCAAAATCGTGATTACTCAATGGTCATATTTGATGAAACACCCTGTATAAATTTATAAAAAATCTTAAAATATGTAAAACAACAAAATAGAATATACGTGTTTAAGAGTTTTTCCGAAAAACTTACCGGTTTTTAAATAAAATATATTTTAATATTTGAGGAATAGTTTCACCCCCTTAGAATTCGAGTTTCAAAAAATCCCTTCTTATCGAACCTCTACACCCTAAAGTCAATCTATTTTCCAAAAATCAGCTTTTTACGTCAAGCGCTTTAAGCAGGATCGTGATTAATCAATGACCAGATTTTTCGAAACACCCTGTATACATTTTTAAAAAATCTTAAAATATATAAAAAAACAAAATAAAATATACGTGCTTAAGCGTTTTTTCGGAAGCTTGACCGTTTTTTAAATAAAAAATATTGTAATATTTGAGGGATGGTTTCACCCTCTTGGAACTGGAATTTCGAAAAATCCCTTCTTATCAAACCTCTACACCCTAGAATCAACCTGTATGCCAAAATTGAGCTTCTTACGTTGAGTGGTTTGAGCAGGATCGTGATTAATCAGTATGTGAGTCACTTAAGGATTTTATATATTAGTATAGATAATTAATTTATTTTTGTTTCGTAAAATATTTTGATTAAAAGAAAATACCGTATGATCGAAAAAAACGGCGTCCAGTTGGCTGAGAAATGACAATCGCTGACATTTCCCATATAATTTTACATATAAAATGACAGCGATCTCCATTTCATAGCCATCGCTGACGCCGTTTTTATTCGATCATTCGGTATATAAAAGTGGGCAAGAAACTGGATATTGCATTTGTCCAAGGTTTAACTGTCATTAAGAAGTATTAAAAACTGACTTCTTCTAAGCATCACGTATGTCATATTTGTCAATAAAAATGTTGATAAACAACACACCAAAACACAAAACCGCGGTACTATCCTCGACCATCATATCCAGCGTCCGTATATTTCCCCCACCGACATTACAGCGTCAAGACGAGGATCTTTAAGCAATCGATATAAAGATGGGGAGCGCTTTGCGGCGTCGAAGATTTTGTGTGTAGCGTCTCGTCTCTAGCCATCAGGCAAAGTTGCGCGTTGCGTGTCCGTCGTTCTAGTGTGGGCGTGTGTTTTTTCTAATACATCTTCTCACTTTCTATCTTGCGGTCGTCGACTAGGATACCGACGGGGTAAGTCTAAAGTTTTTAATCTTTTAGCCGAATTAGTATATGTTGAATAATTAATTTTGTGTTTAATCTACAAGAATAGATATATTTATTAATCTCAAGATAACATTATACAGTACGTCCCCGGATCGTCTTAATAAGTGCAACACCTTGTTATTATTAACATCTTAAGAAAAGGGTATTCTTTATAAAAAAATTTGCTTGCTCTATATTATTTTTTTGTTGTTGTGAAGGCAACCCAGGTATATTATTTGACATTAGATTCAAAGTTAAAATGAAATGCTGTCTATACTGTATTTATATCTATATACTCTCATTTACCACTCTCGATCTAATCCAGTCTTCAGTATAGATTTATTTATGTTGACATATTGACATATTCAATTATTTTATTAAAATATCATATTTTATTTGAAGTTACTAAAAAATTACATCTGATATAATTCTTTAATCAAATTAAGGATATTTGATATATATGAGATACCATACAGTAGAAAAAAAAAACGGCGTCCAAGTTTACTTGGAAATGTAGATCGCTGTTGTTTTGTATGCAAAATTATATGAAAATATCATCAAATCCAAGCAAATCCATGCCGTTTTTTATCATTTCCATTCATTTTAATATAAAACTACTGGATAGATTAGACACTTGACTTACGACACTAGTAGATTTAAATATATTTATGAATTGCATATTCAAACAAGATTAGGTTATTTAATCGATTGGTAAATCTAAATTAAAAAAAAAATTAAAACTACAGTTTAAAAATATAACAAAGACTACACTGTGGCCTTTATTGATTCCACAATACGCTTCGATTGACAAAAACCGCATCAGAGTTTAAATCTGAATTAAAAAAAATGTAAAACTACTTAAAAAAAATAATGATAATATACACACAGTTTAAAAAAATGTAACACTAATGTGGCCTCCACAATATGGTGGTATTATATATTATATATATAATACCGTATGATCGAAAAAAAAACGGCGTCAGCGATGGCTATGAATTGAAGATTGCTGTCATTTTATATGTAAATTTATATGGGAAATGTCATCGATCCAGGGCCGGATCTACCTACGGGCTGTTTGGGCTCCAGTCCAGGACCCCGAGGTTACAAGGGGCCCCCAGGCCCCACGAAAAACAATAGACCCATAGGTGGGAACTGTTGAATCGTGAAATAAAATTAAAATTCAGGTTAAAAGTTTCAGCCAGACAAGATGGCCTTGCCACTATGATATTGTCAAAGCCTTAAAAATAATTATGATGACATTATGAAAATTTTCAAAAGTTTCAGCGAAAATGAGGTTGAGAAAGTTGATTTCCGGAAAGAGGCACGAAATTTATTCAATAAAATGGCGAAACTCGAGACTGCAATTTTGATTATCTTTTGAGAAGAAGTTTTGGAGAGATTTCATTTAGTTAATAAAAAAAAGTTGCCCTTGTTTGGACATTTGTGAAGGCAACAAGTTAATTGTTTCTTTAAAAGACTTTGTGTGCAACATACGACATCAATGAGATCAAATGTTACAAGAGTACGACGAAAAAGCTAAAAAATTAAGTACTAGTGTAATAATAGACTACAATTACATAAACAAGAGACGCATTATTCCAAAATTTTCAGATAAGTCTACAGGTGAATTCTCAGTATACGGCGCAGAAAGATTTAAAGAGACACGTTAAAAGTTGCGTTGGATAAGCTGATTATGGATTTAAATAAAAGGAGACAAGTCTATAAGACATATAGCAAAAAATTCAAATTTTTAATGGATTTGCAAGACAACAATATCGAAAACATAGATTTGGAAATTGCACGTCATATTATTGATTACTATCCCGATGACGTAGACGAGCATTTAGTGAATGAGCGCATTCAATTAAAATCGTACTTACTCCAATCTATGTCTGAGTCTTACACCTCTTGCAGTGACATTTTTATGCTCATGTATGAAAATAAACTTATTAACGTGTTCCCTAACTGCTATACCATTTTAAAGATTTTTTTAACATTGCCAATCACTAGCTGTGAAGCAGAACGATGTGAAGCTCCAAGATGTCCTATGTAGAAAATAAATATAGGACAACAATGTCGAACCATCGACTAAATAATTTATCACTTCTTTCCATAAATTGTGATCTAACAAAAGACTTGGAATGTGATGACCAAATAACTGTCAATTTCTGTGACTACAACCTATCAATTTCTTTTACTAATTCATAATAAGTAAATAAATAAAATTGTTTTATTGTTTTTTTTATATTCTTATTAAATATCACTATTTCGGTTTCTCTCTCACCCAAAGTTTGCCTGGAAGAGATTGCTACCACAGCAATAAGGTCGCCTTTTGTACAACTAATACTTGCGTAGATTTAAGTAACATTTATGTTACTTAAATCCACATATCACAAATACCGAAGTCTACAGCAGAATAGGCAGAAAAAGAGAATTGCTCAATATAATAAAAATAAGAAAAACATCATACTTAGGGCATATATTGAGAAATGAAAAATACCACGTCTTACAATTGATAGTTAAGGGTAAGATTGAAGGAAAGAGAGGTCTCGGCAGGAAGAAACTATCTTGGTTGAGAAACATCAGAAACTGGACTCACCTAACTTTTGAAGAACTTATAAGGAAAGCCGAGAATCGTGAAGATTTTGCCAATGTGATCATCAACCTCCACGAAAGAGACGGCACGTAAAGAAGAAGAATAATAATATATCATTATAGAAACAGTTTTTTGATATGGCTATTAGTTGAGTACTTATGTAGGCCCCTAAGTAGTTTCAGCCCAGGGCCCCACAAATTCACGATCCGCCCCTGCATCGATCGTCATTTCCCAGCCAACTGGACGCCGGTTTTTTCGATCAAACGGTACCTAAATATACATACTTATTGGGTATACTATAATACCTATCATATATCCAACTAGCGTGTACCAGCGACTTCGTTCTCGTCGAATTAATCATTTGTAATGGTGATGATAAAGCAAAGCAAGAATTTCCATTAACATACAAACTGGATAAAATTTTCTCACATTTATGTCAGCATGAGAAAAAACAATATGGCGATATTATTATATAACTTGGCAATATTTGAGGGGTAGTTTCATCTCGTTGGAATTTGACTTTCGAAAAATCCGTTTGCCAAAAATAAGCTTTTTACGTCAAGCAGTTTACCCAACTTTTTGGAACACCCTGTATGATTTTTTAAAAAATTTCTAAATATGTAAAAAAACAAATAAATTATGCTTGTCCAAGCGTTTTCCCGAAAGACTAACCGTTTTTCAAATAACAAATATTGTAGTAGGTATTCGAGGGGCGTTTTCACCCACTTGGAATTTGAGATTCGAGAAACCCCTCCTTATCGAACCTGTACACCCCACAGTCAATCCGTTTGCCAAAAATCAGCTTTAAACGTCAAGCAGTTTAAGCAGAATCGTGATTACTCAATGGTCATATTTTATGAAACACCCTGTATAGATTTATAAAAAATGTTAAAATATGTAAAACAACAAAATAAAATATACGTGTTTAAGAGTTTTTCCAAATAATATTTTAATATTTGAAGGATAGTTTCACCCCCTTAGAATTCGAGTTTCGAAAAATCCCTCCTTATGGAAGCTCTACACCCTAAAGTCAATTTGTTTTCCAAAAATCAGCTTTTTACGTCAAGCGCTTTAAGCAGGATCGTGATTAATGAATGACCAGATTTCGAAACACCCTGTATAGATTTTTTAAAAATCTTAAAATATGTAAAAAGCAAAGTAAAATATACAGTACGTCTGTCCGTTCTGTAGCTACGGGGTATCCGTGAGAGGGGAAACGATATTCTCTCGATGTTTTTCGTAAAAAATTAGACGACGCGTCCCATCAATAAAAATTCGACAAATTTGCAAGTAGCCAATAAAATGAGTGGGCGGAGCGATTTGCGGTGACGTACTCGTGAAGTCGACGTATAAAATATATTGCTGTTTATTTAAATGTTTTTTTGTCCGCATTCCTTTCATAGACACAGATCCAGCAGACGTACTGTATATGTTTAAGCGTTTTTTCGGAAACTTTACCGTTTATTAAATAAAAAAGATTGTAATATTTGAAGTGTGATTTCACCCTCTTGGAACTGGAATTTCGAAAAATCCCTTCTTATCGAACCTCTACACCCTAGAATCAACCTGTATGCCAAAATTGAGCTTCTTGCGTTGAGTGGTTTGAGCAGGAGGAACTGATTAATCAGTATGTCAGTCACTTAAGGATTTTATATATTAGCATAGATACAGTTCGTCTGCTGGATCTGTGTCTATGAAAGGAATGCGGACAAAAAACATTTAAATAAACAGCAATATATTTTATACGCCGACTTGACGAGTACGTCGCCGCAAATCGCTCCGCCCACTCATTTTATTGGCTACTTGCAAATTTGTCGAATTTTTATTGATGGGACGCGTCGTCTAATTTTTTACGAAAAACATCGAGAGAATATCGTTTCCCCTCTCACGGATACCCCGTAGCCACAGAACGGACAGACGTACTGTATACATACGATTCGATTGACAAAAACGGCATCAGAGTTATCTCGTAAATGAAGATTGCTGTTATTTGTGCTCTATTAATATTTAAAATGATATAAAAATTGCCATCAATACAGTACCGTATTATCGAATAAAAACGGCGTCAGCGATGGCTATGAAATGACTATCGAGGCAATTCAGTAGTCCAAAAAACTGGAGAGATCAACGAACAGTTGAACTGAAAACCGTCTGAATGCCATCTTACATTATTATAAAAAAATCTCATTTCCTCTCTCTCTCTCGTCGTATTTATCTTTGTATTTATTTTAGTACCTTTTGTGCATGGTACCCTTGTGTAAATAATATAAGATTAAAATACTATAGTACTGGATAGTCTATAGGTATGTCACGTGACAAACATTATTTAGAATACAATAATATTGGATAATTTTATATTTATTTTATATAGGAAAAACAGCATAACTACGGT